GGCAGTCTCCAGGTGGGAGGCCCGGCCCGTTCTCCCCAGGGAGCCCATCTCAGTGAAGTGGAGCTCCTTGTCCGAATATAGAAACGCGGGAGGTATTTTTAACCGTGAACTCTCCCGCAGCTCACGGCCATCCCCCCTCCACTGACCCGGGGGCCCACTTGGGGAGGGGCAGGGCCCCGGATGGAGAGGCCCCCGTGGGGCCTGGAGCTGCCCTGATTAAACAGACACGTCCACGCATAGACATGGAAGCCCTGGCCTGGCCACATGCCCTTCCCCGAGCCCACCTCCTGGCCCCGGGTCCTTAACCACCCTCAGACCCCGCACCGTCCCTGCCGTCCAGCACTGCCCTCGGGGCACTGGCCTCATACTTCTCCCAGGGCCCCAGCTCTGCCCGGGTCCCCTTGCCCCTCTGCGTGTGGGTGTGGTCCTCTGCCCCCACCCAGGGAAAGAGCCCCGGGGCCTCTGGCCAGGAATGTGGGATGTGGGCCACCCTGATGACCCCACCACCACCCTGCCACCTCCTTACACTTGTCTGGACACCAACACCCTGTGCCAGTGTCCAAACCTGGCTCCTGACCCAGAAAGCCCACCTTCTGGATTCCTCAGAAAACTGCCCCTCCCAGCAACCAGGCCGCCTCCGCCAAATGGGAAGCACCTGGGCCTTCAGAGGCTGCGTCGGGTTTGCGTTGAGAACCTGCGAGAAGCCAGGTGGATGGTTCCCGCTGGGTCCGCACCCCCTCGGGGGGCAGGGTGTTTGCACAGAACTGGCCCCTGGGTGAATGGGGCCCAGGGACAGCTCCCCCTGACACCCTGCGAGGCCCCACCTGGCAGCCAGGTCATGGGCTGGGACTCTGGTTTGTGAATGACGGACCCAGGGGGTGGGGCGCGGGCACAAGGACGAGGCGCCCTGTGGCCAGTGGGTCCTCGCGGGCTCTGAGCTCCTTCCCCTTCCAAGGGCCACCGTGGCACCGTCGCACAGACAGCTGGGTTTCCGGGGGCTCCGTCCGCCGTCACTGGGGCCCCTGGTTCTGCAGCGGGGAGCACGCTGAGGTGCGTGCAGGGCCAGTCGGGTCTTCCACTGGCTCCCCCGCCCCCAGGCTGCCTCGGCAAACGCAGAGACCGCAGGGCCGCTCCGTCCATAGTCCATCGAGGCTAGCCCAAGCCCCAGTCTCCATCTGTAATTCTACATCCATCCGCCTCCCAGGTCTACAGTGAGCTCCCTGGAGGGAGGGGTGGCCAGAGGGAGGTGACCAACAGGCAAAGGCTGGGCGGGGCCGGCAAGGGGGCTGCCTGTAGTCTCACCCTGTGGCACCCGGAAGGCACAGACCAGCGGTCACTCCTAGTACAGCCTGAGGCTGGCGGAGACCCCACCGAGGCCCCGCCGAAACCCCCCAGGGCCACCGAGCCCAGGCCCTCCCCGCCCACTCTTCCCTCCCAGCAAACGCAGCCCTGCACCCGAGAGGGGTTTTCACTCATCTCAGACGTCCGGCCCTTCTCGCTAAAGACGTAGGTATTGACAGGAGCTAATTACAAACAGCCGTGACCGTGTCCCTACTTGCTCTGAATCTCGGGCCAGCTGGCAGACACGGCTGCAGACGAGGCTCCCAAGGTGTAACAGTTTTCCTCGGTGCAAGATGGAATGTGTGTGGATGACTTCCTCACCCGGGAACGGTGGCCCACCTGCCTGGCAGGGTGCAGCCGAGCCCTCACCCTGATGTCTGGTCGCCAAGTGTGCAGCAGGTGATGCCGGAAACCCTTCCGTTTCCCCTGAAATCCCGTTCCCAGCAGCCTGAGTTTGAGGCCTTTGGACATGGTGGCCTAGTGACATCTGACACCTGGCAGTGACCGTGGAGTCGCTGGGCTCGCATATAGGTTTTGGCCTCTCAGTGCTGGACCCCAAAGCCCAGGCAGGATGGGGAAACAGCTGGATTCAGGTGGCTGCCATCCCACGGGGCGACCTGAGCGAAGTCCGGGACAGGCCAGCACCCCTCAGCTTCCGTCCCCGTAGAAGGTGCCCAGGTGGCCAGCTGTGGGGCTGGGCCCAGGGCACACTGGGCCCCTCAGAGCAGCCTTGGCCGTGCCCACAGCCTGAGTAGCCCTGCACACAGCAGCCACCTCCCTGCCCTCCAGCCCCCGAGCCCACTGTGGATCCTCACCTGGTGACCACAGGACACCGCACATTGGCCACTTGTTAGCTCCTCCCACCGTGACCATCCGGGGTCTCCAGCAACAGGAATGATTGAAAAGGTGCCTCTCCATCCCCCAGAGGTTAGCGTGACACACCACCCTGTGACTTTGGAGCTGAGGGGGTCTTTTTCCCCTTAACAAGGGGGCATGTTCAGGAGGAGCCACTTGACTTTTGTGACAACGTTCAGGCTTAATGCTGAAATATCTTTGACAAAGAAAAATTACCTTTGAGCTCCCTAAAATAGGGACTTCAATAGAGGGAAGGGGTCCCTCTGGGGCAGACTGGCACCCTCTGCCTGGGGGTCTCGGCCTTCCCAGAGCCTGGCCAGCGGCCCCCAGGTCCTGGCCCCTCCAGCAGACACACCCTCACCTCTTGCTCTTGTAGGGATGGGGCACATGCCTACCTGGGGAAGGGGCCCCAGTTCAGCTAAGTCCTGGGGCCCATCATCACAGACCCCTGCCCTGTGGGCGGAGCAAGGCAGGGTTTGCACCCACCCGCAGAGCTGGGCTGGAAGGGCCCCGCGTGTGGCCCACAGGGGAGGGGCGGGTCCTGGGGGGTTGCAGAAGAGATGGGGCCCGGCTGACCGTCTCTTCCCCAGGAATGGCTGGGCCCTGGCACCCCTGTTGTCCCCACGTCTGTGGCTTCTTCACTGTATCAAAGTCTGATTCCTGAGCTGCTGCCTCACTGCAGTCAGGGGAGCCTGTCCCCCCAAAGCCAGGGAGACGAACGGCCCAGGGCTGGGGCAGCCCCTCGGTGCAGACCCAGGACCTGGAGGTCGGCGGGTGGCCCCGCACAGCGCGGCTTCCCCGGGAGAGCGCGGTCTTCACCGCAGGCCTCACTGCATTCCTGTGGAGACATTCCTGGCATATTACGGAATTTCACAACATGACACAGAGCCCTGTCAGACCCTGAGTGATGGAGGATGTCAGCTGCAGGAGGCGGGCTCCATGTCA